TAAGCTAAACCCCCCTCCCTTACCTTATTTAGGCCACACCTTTATACAAAGTCACAGAAATATTCCTTATGTGCTTATTGAGGTACAGTGCAGAGTGATTTTACCTGCAAGGATAATTTGACAAAATGGGCAATATCTTTATTGCTAATGGTCATATTTAGACAAATCCTATATCATTGTCTTTTTTTTTCTTAATTGCTCATGGTTATTAAAGAGTAAGCCAACTAGGTAGTAATTTCGGATTCCTAATACTAATATTATGGGCATTCTTAAAATTTTTAAACTTGTTTTTAGCGCTTTTCTCCACGTAAAACGGATTCCGTAAAAAAAACAATGACCTTATCTTTCTTTTTCAAAGTATTGTGCATATATTTGTGTGAAACTATATATTCTATGCTTTCATGTACATGAAAAAAGCTAATAAAGGCAAGCAAAATGTTCTTCAGAGACATAGATCTAGTAAGTAGGCCCACTGAATTTTTTTTATAAACCGGGAAAGATGACAAGAAAATAACAAAATTATTTTATGATCTTCACTTGCACTTGCAATTTTTTGGATAAATTATAGTCTACCTCATTGTCTTTTTTTCCCCTCATTTTTCTTCACTATTCATGACAACTGGCATGTATTGTTTTCAGTTATTATCAAGAAAGTGGATAGGCAGACTACGGGGTCTATCTAGCCAAAAGGATAGGTGGACCCCGGGGTCTACCTAACAAAATGCTAGGATTTAGGATGTGAACCCCGGAGTGAGCGTAGTGAAATAAGTAGTAGATCTAAGTTTAACTAAGGCTCGGTGGACCCCGGGGTCAACATAGTGAAATAAGTAGATCTCAGTTTATTTTATAGTAGGACTGGCGGAGCCCGTGGTCAACGTAGTGAAATTATAAGTAGATATAGGTTTAATTAAGGATTGGTGGACCCCGGGGTCAATGTAGTGAAATCAGTAGATCTAGGTTTAATTAAGGATTGGTGGACCCTTGGGTCAATGTAGTGAAATAAGTACATGTAGATCTAGGTTTAATTTTAAGGATTGGTGGACCCTGGAGTCAACGTAGTGAAATAGGTAAGTTTAAGGTGGACCCCATGGTCTACCTAACGAAATGATAGTTAGGTTTTTAGAATAGGTGGAACCTGCGGTCACCATAGTAAAATAAGTAGGTTTAATCTAGGTGTCCCGGGGGTCCACCAATCCTTAATTAAACCTTCTTATTCCTCTACGGCTATGGTGACTCCGGGGTCCACCAATCCTTTTAAAATTAACCCTACTTATTTCACTACGCTGACCCCGGGGTCCACCAATCTTTAAAGAAACACACTTATTTCACTGCGGTGACCCCGGGGTCCACTTGTCCTAAAACCTAGTATTTCGCTAGGTAGACCCCGGGGTCCACCTTAAACCTGCTTATTTATCACTACGTTGACCCCGGGGTCCACCAATATATCCTTACTTAAACCAAACCTTATTTCACTATGGTGACTCCGGGGTTCACATCCTAAAACCTAGTATTTCGTTCTGCAGACCCCAGAGTCCACCTATCCTCTTCAGGACTAAACTATTATCAATTTGCAATTTTCATTGATTAGCATATTTTTAAAAAAAATATTGAATCAGAGACTCGCTGTCTAAAAAGTCCACTGCTAATGCTATTCTTTTCAAAGAAAATGGCACAATTTGATTTTATGATATGTTGAAAAGAAGAGTTTTAAAAATATCCCGAAAACAACATAAAATGATTATATAGATCTCTCTCTCTCTCTCTGTATATATATATATATATATATATATATATATATATATATATACATATATATATATATATATATATGTGTGTGTGTGTGTGTGTGTGTGTGTGTGTATTTTATTATGTATACTAAAAGACTGAGCAGAGGCTTACAACGTAAATTCTGTGCTCTACAAGTACAGAAAATTTTAAGTTTGCGCAAAACAGATTTTAGAAAAAAAGTTGGATCTAATTATTGTAATAAAAGTAAAAGTGATTGTTATGCTGAGATTTGTTATTATTAACTCTGGAAATACAGTTACTTGCTGAATCTAAAAGTAACTAGAACTGTGCAATTCGTTTTATTTCAATTCCAAAGCCCAAAGGCATAGCAATAATAAGTTAGATCTAGATCTAGCAGTTGTAGGCTCTCTGGCTGCTTCTAGCATAGGCCTGCTACTACTGATTCTAGACAGGGAATCTAGATCTTGCTATCGCCTGCACTATTAAAGTCAAATATATTGTAAAATAAAAACAAAATTGAATTTTTTTGTCAGTCAGTACATCCCAATTGCCGTAGCCGCACGTATTAGATCTAATAGTTGAATAATGCGATACCGAAGCAACACGTTATCACAGTGTGCAGGGGAGAGCGAGGTGCTCGGTCGATTCGGTGGTTCGGCTTTTGTAGATCTATGCATTTTTTACGGAAAGCCCTATTACCTAACCCTCTTACTAGATCTATTAGTGTTGTGAAAACTTCAACCTCTACAGCTCAGGCGTCAAAAGATGCTGGAAAATAATAATACGTCCTGAAGTTTCATAATTTATTTTTATACGGAATAACACAGTACACAGCCAGTAGTTTTTATTTCATCGAGTTATAAAAATGGCCTTCGTATAAAAATTGCCTTGTTTTCAGAAGCAAATTTTAATAGTTCTAGTTCTACCGAATTGATTTTCACGCGAATTCAAACATTTTGATGACCTTTCTTTTCCTTTTAAAAAGATGTAGATCTAGGCCTGTCGGATGTGGCAGTGCGAATAACACTGAGTTGTTTAGATCTAGATCTAGACCCATCAAAACACGAGGCTTCGTGGCCGATCACAAAAGTCTACGGGGCTTATCGAGGCCGATTCGCCCTGCTGCGAGCACGTTCACTAAACTGCCTACTAGATAGAATCTACTACCAAATATTCTCTACACGATCTTTGCTACTACTACTACTAGGCCTACTAGCCTACATGTACTACTACGAGACAGTACGAGAGAGTGTCACTCAGGCAAAGATAGTGTAACTTTGACTCAGCCACGTAGTGTACACACTTTTTATACCCCAAATTTAATCCGGAAGTCCATTCAGAGGATCTGACCTTTTCACTTGACCAAAGTGTGCCAAAATGGTAGCCTAGCTTTTGCCCCTCCATGAAGGAAAAATCTGGCCCTCATTCAAACCATTGGGATTGAGCAAAATTTTGCATATTGTGCTTTGTTCTTTACAATATTCATTATGGTTATGATTTATAAGTTGTACACTGAGACAAAACTGTACTAAATGAGAAAGGTGCACCATTATGAAAGTGGAACGAACTCAGTTGCCTGAAAAGGGTAGTTTGAGCATGTGTGGCCTAAATAAGCCAAACCCCCCTCCCTAACCTTATTTAGGCCACAGTGCACTGTGGCCTATATAAGCTAAACCCCCCTCCCTTACCTTATTTAGGCCATATGTGGCCTAAATAAGCACTCCCTTAAAATTAACAGAATTGCATAATTTCACATTTTTGGGCTCAGTTTGCATAATTTCAGAATTTTTTCTTGCATAAAACGACGGGGGCAGACCTACATACATAATATGTGCCAATTTAAAAAATTCTCACTTAAGTAATAAATTTTCTTATAACGGACATTCAGACTCATCGAATTTGAAGGTTAAGCCTGATAGGACTTCGTAGTGAGTTCCCTTGTATTATGGTGGTAGGCCTATCTTGCCAGAACATGTACCTGATGAGAGGATATACTCCGGATTTGACCTTAATACTTTTACACTCCACTTAGGTTTGAACTTTAATTTACTTTACTTTTCCGATCAGGCGGCCATCTGGGTTCTAGCCCTTCGACCTGTCGATATGTTTATGGCAAAGAATTTATTTACAGGTTTTTATCAGCTGTGTTTTGTTGCTGTATAAAGTATTTTTGATGTCTGGGGAGGCAGACAGGTAAGTACTACTCAGGTCGCTAAGTGCAAGGCAGGTAAAGAGATGATGTGATACTGTTTCATCCTGGCTGTTACACAACGGGCAGTCTGGAAGGGTACCCTGGCGGATCCTATAGGTAGGAATTCAGGGGAATGTGTTGGGTTTGCAAGCGAAAGATAGTGACTTGTTCTCTTCTACTGAGGGAATTAAGTGCATTCATGTGTGCAAGTACAGGTCTTCCAGTTTTGCATGCACAATGCCCATCCGTCGTGGAGCCGGTCATTTCGTAGCGCACTTGTAAACATCAAACGCGCATTGCCATGAATATATCGCAAATCACGATTTTGGGGGGAGGGTTGCGGCTGTGCGAGTTGTCGTGCCTACCTGATCAGCTACACCACTCAGAAAAATACGTGTTGACATTTCATTATGTGGATCTCATCTTGTCCATGGGATTTGCAGGGCTTCAGTTTCTTTATTGTCCAGTTGAGGTCTGTGAGTGTGAAGTCATCTTCAAAGAGAGAGATACTTGCACTTGGCGCACGCTCTTTCTCCTTCAGTTTTTTTTTTTCCCAGACAGTTTTTATGTTGGTCAGTATGAGGTGTGGCTTTGTTAATTATACAGATGCAAAAAACTTGTTGAAGGTTTCTGCCTTTTTTTTGTTCTTCTACGATAGTGCTGGATTTGAACCTCAATAACTTCCCTCTAACTCTAACCCGCGTATAGTGTAGCAGTGTAAGGCACTTTGCTGTCGCATAAAGAAAACTGAGTTCGATTACTATGTGGTGACAATTTTTATACCTCCGTCTTTCTGCAGGGACATCATATCCCCTCAGTCCGAGTTGGTTCTGGCAGGCAGGTTGAAGCCGATCTCCTAGCTCCTAGTCCTAAACGATCTAAATTATGTCGATGCTGGATCAAAACACACCTGCCTTTAAGAAATAATTCAACTTCCTTTTGGTAGATCAAGTTTTGAACTTAAATTGCATCGAGATCAAAGAAAATGTTATGAGTAATGTGAAGACCAATTAGACAAAAATCGACAAAAACGTTTTAAAAAATAGTGAAAAGCAACACATTTCTCCATGAGAAACTTTATTACCAGTTGTCAGAGCACAAGATGTTTTTGAAAATTAAATATATTCCAATGAGATTATATAACGACAGCTGACTAGACACTTAATGACTTATGTCCTCCACTGCAATATACATAAGATTCCAGCCCTTCCACTAGTACTTCCCCTATTAGAAATATATATGATATATATCTACAGTAAAAAGATGAACAACTATATCATATGTACAAATGTACAAGAGACAAAATCGCTGTGCATGCAGAGCCTAGTAGGATTGAAGCTATGAAAAAGAATGTTATTATTGTTATTCCCTTTCATAGTAAGAAGCAGAGACATACATGATGGAGAATACCAAAAAAAAACATGATAAGTGCTATAAATAAATGGCAGTGCATTGATATTGCACATGTATGTTAAGAGTGTGGGGTCATCAATTTGACAGCACAAGCCATGGCAATGCTTTTAAATAGCCTACCATGTATGGCAAAAAGAGTAGTGTACGTTTGTACGGGGCATTATCTGTCACTTTCCACTTGACCAGCTTTGTGTGCTACTAACAAAAATATTTGCCATTCTCATCCAATAAATAATCTTTCCTTTCATAAATTCAAGTACAAAAAAAATCATACTGAAGTATTTCCCAATAAGCATATATTAATATTATCGCAACACGAAAATATTATCGATCTATAAAATCACCAGGCTGATGTTCAGATTCAAAGATGTTCATCTGATCGTATAGATCAGTATTACGGTAGTCCAAGATTTATTCTTCAGTTAGAGATCTTTGAGCAGGTCTTGTAGCTCACCAGATGCATTTAGTGTTTTCAGGTCACTGTTACCACCAACACACTGGCCTGAGATGAAAATCCGAGGAACCTGAAAGTGAAACAATAGATTGCATCAGTCTAGGGAAAACTGAAAATGAATTAGAAGAGAATGATAAAAACCCTTTCAATTTCTACCATCAGTGCAGAAAATACGCCAAACCTGACCCAGTAAAGAGGAGGATACCACTGAAAGTTTGACTTTAACTTTAACCTTTAAGAATTTTTAGGAATGGATTTGTAATAATTTTATAGATATGTTTTACACCCCCATCGATACAATTTAGATCATTTACGAGGCGAGCTTCCAACCCTGCCTGCCAGGGCCTACCTGGGCTGAGTGGGATACAACATCCCAGCAGAAAGACCCAGATACTCGATAAAACTACTCCCCAATCAAGAATGAATTTAGATCTTCTGCATATGATGGCAAAGCCCCTAACCACTACACACAGACTCTGGTGAATGGATTTGTGCAAAGGCAGAAAGTAGATCTACATTAAAGGGATGGACAAACACTAATACAGCCTAATTCTCTCTTCACTCATTCCCTACCTTTTTTGTTTGTTTTGGTAGAGGTTTTACGGCGCTCGCAACTGCATACGGTTATATGAGCGCTAGAAGATTAGAGGTGTTACAAGAAAGTAACAAAATATAAAAAAGAAGGAGGAGAGATATATAGGATGATAGATGTTTGATAGGAGAGAAGAAGCAAACCACACCAGAGCACCCGCGAACCACCCACTACCTTTTTTGTTGTCCATTACACGCTTATCTTGTTTTTATTGTATAGATATTCAACACCCCTTTCAACGCTGAACTGTTATTTTAAGAGGTGCCGACCTACAAAGTTTCATACAGTATAACTTATAACACGGATAACTCAAATTCGTTGGGACCGGCCTCGGTCATTTGAGTGATCCGTAGTTCGAGGGATATCTTATACAAGGAAGAAAATAAAACTGGACCGCAGGGACAGTTTGACGGATGCATGATTTTAAGTCTTCTGTAATATCCATCACCAATACGATCAAGCCAAATTGGTAGATGGTAGAGAGCCGCGGTGGGTAGTGAAGGGCTCACGGGATGGAGCCCCCCCTCAACTCCATCTCAAATAAATGAAAGTTTTTTTAAGCATTTGAAACCGTTACGGTCGCACACAATGAACACAGAGTGATCAGCTTGGCGGCTTGCTCGTTTATCCAATCACCGTTGTCACCGCTTACAACTATAGTAACCTAACAGCCGATCACAAAATGTCTTTAGGGCTCAGCACAGGATGAGCCTATTCCCACGCACCTTACGTAATGAAACTCTTCTTGAAAATAAAGTAGAAGCCTGGGTAAAATATCACCGCACTGAGGGCTCACGCTCTCCTAGCCTTGAAAATGGGGTGAAAGTTTACAACACACTTTCCCCCAATGACACAGATATCTACGCGCTCATAGGACATTAATTGTTATGTTTCGTTCTATTTAAATTCCGCGACTACACGGCCTAGGCCAGTTCATAGACAGGATATGTTTGAAGTGCTGTGTGTGTAAGTTTGTGTTTGTGCAGCTGAGATTTAACAGTTATTTATAAATCACGTCGGTCGACTTTTACTTTTAAGGTAACTTTTCCATCCAGAAGAATCTAACTTAAAACAAAGAGACGGAAGACAAAGGTGACTATTCTCGTTTGAATGGTTCTCAAAATACTGTGGCTCACCAATCAGTCCTGTTTACGGGTTATTGCTTGCTATTTGGTGGTAAAGTCGAAGTGTCAGCAACGTAAGCCCAACCCAGAGAGAGCCTTAAGATCTCCCCAAAATAACACAAATTCAAGAGTTTTCCTTTGGAAATTCGAACGAGATCCACTTCTTTGTCTAGACTGATACATGCACTATTACTAACTGAGCTAAACGTACAGAGCCCGTGAGCTCATGCCCTATATATAATGTGTCACGATGTGGTGGAATAAGACGCTCGTCAGTTTTTTGGGCTAATGGAGTTATTGTTATTATCTTAAAGCTTGTTCACTTGTCTTGCCTTCGGTGAAAAAACACCCGTTTGTCTCGAATAGAAGTCGAGATATCTGCAATTGAAGGAGGTGGAGGTCGCAATGTTTCAGAGGTACCGGTAAAATTAACGAGAAAATGGTACCAAAATTTGGTGGCTTCCAAAGTTTGAGTGTCCATGGAAACTGCAAATTTACATTTTTCGTGCCTTTGATCAAAGTGTTTTGGTATAATCCTCACTGGAAGTGTTTTAAAATTAAAATGGACATAAAAGATGAGTCGCAAAAAGAAAAATCGAAAAATATTACCCATTGGCCAGAAAAATGCTGGTTTCCTTGATTCCATTATTTTGACGAGCGCATGATTTCACTACGATGTCACACATAAATAGCTACATTTATACTCAATATAAAAAACAACAAAAAACAAATAGCATTTCGTTACGGCAAACTCCCACTCAACAGTAAGCCCTTTGTGCTTTATTATTCTATCATTACACAAACAGACCTTATAGTATTTTAATGATCTTTCGCTTATGACTGAATATCCATCCATATCTGGGTGAAGTGAAAAAGAATCATGCAAGGTGCCTCAAACCCCAAGCCTAAATGCACAGACCGAGTAGAAATCAGTACTCCAAAGCTCACAAGGTTAATCACTGTAATCGAAAAGGGTAACTGGTGGCCTTTCCTCCTGTATTCCTTTTTGATTTCATGCAACATTCAAGGAGGCATCAGCATAATGAGCTAAGATACATCTTACTTGATGTACACGTAACAAGAATTTACTGCTCACAAGAGAAGTTCTAACACTTACTAACAGAGATGTTTTAGAGAGTGCTTGAGTTTACAGAGGGCCAAAAATACAATAGGCACATTTCAAAAAAAAGAAAAAAAAGAAGAAGAAGAGAAGAGCCACTGTGAAAAACAGACAGACCAGACCACACCAGAGTGCCAATCAAGAACTTACTTCTGTAGTAGAGTTAGTAGGTGTGAAATTGTAAAGAGGTTTAACACCTCTTGCAACACTGTAACAGTAATTTTGTTAATTTAAGAAGTGGAACCTCGGAATTAAACGCCCATTTCCAATAAAACTGAGCCAATGGGGACAATTCTTGTAAAAAGCCTTTTCCAAGGGTACAACATCAGAGCAAGCTGAATCCCTGAACCCGCAATCTCACACTCACTGGTCCACTGGCCTAACCACTAGAAGCCCAACATCAGTCCCATGAGTTAACTAAGTTGTGGGGAGGGAAAAAACGCACTCACTGTTCTCGCATCTGTCATTTGTCCCAGCACATTTTGAACCTCGCCTCCCTCTTGCAACTTGTCCAGCTCAACAGTCTTGTAGTTGACCCCCATTGTGGTCAGCAGGGTCTTCGAGTCACTGCAGTGGGGGCAGTGGGTTTTGCTGAAAACTACGACTTTGTTCTTGCTGACAAGATCGTTGACCAAAGCTTGCTCGTGGGACTCATGGGCTGATTCCTCCTTGTCCCGATGGTCTCCCATTGAAAAGTCAAAGGGTGGATCGACAGAGCTATCCATTATAAATCTGAAAATTAAAAAATAGAAGCTTAATTGTGATATATTGTGGTCAAGACTTTTGAAATGGGTTCTTTTGTAATGTTCAAGGGGTAATAAAAAATAAGCAGAAAGGGGAGGGTCAATCTAGGTAACAAAAGCACAAATGATTAAGTGGAACATAACATTGAAAATGATAACAGCAACAAACCTCTTTTTGACCTCTCAAACTCAAAGGACCCAATACCCTTTTAAACTTAAAGACTTCTAAGGGCGATGCAAAGATGCTGCTTTCTCGAACGTTATAAGCTGCCATGACAACCAGTCACTCTTCTACTTCTTAGTGTTTTTATATAGTGTTAAGTCCCAAACTTGTCACCAAAAAAAAAAAAAAAATCATAAGGGGAACAAAAGAATAATCATATTCCCTTTTCCATATATGGCTCAACCATAGCACTAATCACTAGGAACATAAAACGTATTTGAATTGTAGGACAATTGAACTCAAAGTAGAACTGGCTAAAAAAAGGAACTGTAGATTATATAACTGTGAGCCAAAGTAGCCTACTTAAAAAGGATACAATAGATACTGCTGTACATTATCAAATTATTATAACGAGGTCCCGAGATCCGACCGTCAAGTTCGTTGAATCTGAATGTTTGATATACCGTGTCTAAGAAAGGCGTAGCTAAAATATAGTAAAATGAGGATTTGTTTATAAATCAGTTTTACGAAAGGGACATCAGCAGAGATATATGCCAAGGAGCGAGTATAAAGGAAAAGAACCAATGATGCCCCAAAGCGGCTTGCTTATGAGCGGTTGCTTCCCTTGACACAATCCCTGCACAGCTTTTGTGTCTGACTTGATGATAGTAGCCTACTGTCCCCGTCGGATAATGCTATGGTGCGGCCGCGGTTTGTTTGTTTGTTTGTTTGTTTTTGTTTGTTTGTTGTTGTTTTTTTTGGGGGGGGGGGGGGGGGCATGATTCTGCAACATTTGCATAATTTTGTGTACCCCGCGTTTTTTCACTTTTTTAAAAATAAAGTTTTTCACAAAAAACAATTTAACGCCTCGACATGAGACTAAAGCCACAGCAAAAAGTCTCATTTTAGTGAGTGATAAGTTGGTTATTTCCCTTGTTGGTGATTTTTGTTCCTTGAGCATGTCTATGTCATCATTGTCATGTTCAATTTTTCAGCCCATCAAAAGTTGTTCTAAAGTATGTTGATGTTTCATGTTTGTCAGATGCTCCTGGTTTTAGTGATGTGCCAGCATATAATCAGAGGTCCAGATGTCATTTTTTTAAAATATGTTTTTTTCTTTTTTACATTTCTCTTTCCTCTCTATACAGCTGAAAGTTACAGAGATTTTGGTGGGTTTTTTCTGACTGATGTGTATCTTTCCAAATACACAAGAAACTACTGACACCGAATGATATTAATATGTTCTATTTTCAATTCTTCTGTGCATAGATTTAAAACATGAAAATTCTTGTTGGTGGTTCAGAATCAATTGAAGAGGGCCCAGTTTTACCGAGGAGTCTCAAGTCACTGTAGCTTAATTCTCAGTTTTTCATTAGTTTCGTTTAGATTTAATCTTAGGTAAGTCCATCTTCTTAAAACGCCATTGTGACCAAGTGAGGCTTCTGTTCACAAGGAGAGCGCACCAATCCCACAACGACTTGACGATCGATTCTTTTGAGTTCGTTAATCGAACGGGGTACCCAGCTAGTACAGTGGAACTCGGATTCAACGAGGTAGCCGGGCCTGACCTAAAATCTCGTTGAATCCGAGTGTTCGTTATAGCAAACATGAGGTTTTGTGTAGATTATTGAGCATGTAATGTATAAAGAAAAGTCACAAATAGTGCCTGAAATGCCCGCATATTATGAACTGTGTAAAAAAAAAAAGACCGATTCGTTCAAATGCATTCCTGTGTCATCTCGATTGTTTACCACAAAGTTGTGTTGCTGTGTAGATCCTAGCATAACGGCAACTTTTGATTTCATAGACAAGCGCACAATTCATTACGAAGATCTACGTCAAGACTGTTTATCATTGTATTATGTAATAATGATCAGTTGCCGAGGGGAAAAAAAAACTGTGACGCGTTTGTATCTGCGACGTTCAACACCCGGATCGCTAGTGCGCCCCCCTCCCTCCCCGACACACACACAGTCATTATATATGTGTGCAGGCCACCCATCCGACTCCGACACACGCCAGAGTAGACACGTGCGCGAGTCAACAACGCATGTGTTGGTATGAAAAAAAAAGGTCACTGATTGGACGCATGCAATCGGCTAAGTGAATAATGGTTCACGATGCAGTTGCAATGGATGGTTTCTGGGAATAGATAAAGTTCGTTCTGGGAGAAAAATGAGCGAAGCCACGTCTGCGGGGGCACTTCACCCAGGAAGCGACCTTGTTGGATCCGAGCTCGCTGATTTAAGTGCTCGTTGAATCCGGGTTATTTTTATTGATTTTAAAGAAGAAAAAGAACGGGAAATCTATCTCATCTCGTTGAATCCGAGTTCTCGTTGAATCCGAGCTCGTTAAATCCGAGTTCCACTGTATGTGGGCGTATATATACTAGCTGGGCCCCCTCTCGATGAAAGGAATGATCGGTGCATTATTATCTACTGGAAGTCATTGGCCTACTATATATTTACACTACTGGAATGGAGCAATAAATCTTGAGAGATGCAAAAAATTAGGTCGAGACCAAAACTCTCCAAACAAAATGCGCCTCGCGAAATATCACTTCCGCTGTGTAGTACAGCTACCCAGATGTTTCGTTTCTCAGTGGAATAATCACAAAGGCCAAAGAAGGACGGGAACTTTTTGTCACAATATTTTTTTTTAATTCAGGAAATGAATAGATCTAAATTTTTTTTTAACGGGCTACGTCATGGGGACCTATCTTATCTTTTTGCAGGTAGGCTACTTGCCAACTTTCAACTCTGTAGCTGTTGTAGTTTTAAGGGTAAAAAGTGATAGCTTCTTCTAGGGCCTACATGTGTTTCCATGTCGCCAAATATATAATGTATAGATTGATTCTCTATCCCGCTTTCGTAGTTGTACACTCCAGACTTTCAAAGGTGTGGAAACAGTGCGTACGGCTAGTGAACGGAAACTTCACTTGTTTACAATGGTGTCTTAGAAGACAGACTTTCCCAAGATTAGATGGGGGCTCTCGGGGCCTAGAGGTTAAGGTGTTAGCCTCTCATTCAAAGGTCCCGAGTTCGAATCCGGGGGGGGCTCGAAAATTTTTCTTCTCTAAAATTGTCTCCTTTCACCTTTCACCTCCTTTCCTGCTCTCAAGCAATGTTTTGTTGTCTGCTTTCGTCTCCTCTTTCTGCCCCCACCCCCTCACCTGGGCTCCAGACTCTTTCTGCAGCCTTTCTACTGCTACTCCTTGGATCCTTCTTACTGCTGTCTTTCAGTCACACCCTTGAACTTCTACTTCTGGTACCGGTAGGAGAGATCTACACCTAGCCTTCTCGAACAAGCGCGAACAATCTCGGATGGCCCGTGTGCAAGTTGCGCACGTTAACGAAAATCGATAAGAGTAGGCTTCAGCTGCCACCCGAGCAAAATTCAAAATTTCCTACCAACTGAAAATATTAGGTACGTCCCGCGCGTTCATATGACCTATGCAGTTGAGAGCATCATAAAACACTTACTAAAAAAACCACAAAAAAACCAAGATAGCGTCAAATCAAATCAGATGGGTAACGGGGGGGGAATATAAGGGTACCGATACATAGCTTTTTTAAAGAGAATATAGTACGAGCAAAGGAATGAATGGGAAACCATGATTGCCGATGTCTGCCGCAGACCTGGCACTTGATGAATACATGATGAGTACTCACTCTCACGTTCAAAACCTCAGAGTATGTGCAGGTATAGCTGAGTACCGGTGCTTACTTTTTTTTCATCTCCTGGGGCTGGGGGCTATTAGACCTAGAATCTAGATCTCTAGTATATCTAGATCTATCTAGATCTATTCGGTTGGCAGTCCGAAACCAAAAAAAAAAAGCCAATAATAATTGAATTAAAATTCTACTTCTACTTTCACTTTACCCTTCGTCCACATTACAAACTTTATATTAGCTTGTTGCTCTGACTCTGAGCGCCGGTTCCCGCTGCTTCAATCTAAAGCAGAGCCCAAACCTAAATCGTACCACTGATCACAAGTAAAATTATCAAAAGATGCTATGGCACTGGGATTTCCTGACTAATGTTCAAAAAGGATTTTGGAACGGGGAACAATAAAATGTGGCGGTACCTTGAACTGAGTTGGGAAACCACGGGCAACGTCTTACTTCTTCTTCTATGAATTTGGACGTTATTTACGTTGGAGATCACTAGGGAAAGCCAGTTAAGAGTAGGAGGAGAATGGCAACATTTTGTTATGTCAACAAAAAAATGAATGCTAACGACATTTCATTCTTCAAGGAAATTGAAATTGTGAGTCCATATTGTATGTATGCATTATACACATTTATCTAACAAAATGAATACTGTTATTTATAGTTTCAAATAGCTGAAATAAATAAAAGTGTTTAGTAGATTCTACTGCTTTGTAGCCAATGTGGCATTTTTTGAAACTTGAAACAAGTTCAAGGTCAAAACGACCCCGCTAGTTCTAAATTCCCTACTAGATCTATTATCTTTTATCGGAACAAACCAACCATTTTGGGGATTGCGCCTTTCAAAAATTAATTATATTCCAAAACATTATTGTTAGCTTTTTATCAATTTCATAATATTCTATTGGGGCACCTGCCAAAAAGTTACTTCTCTGAAATCTTTTCAGCAAGTTTTACACACAATAATATTCCCTCTTGGCTGTGTGCTTGTACGCGCGCACGCACTACACGCCCGTCGACAGGCACCGCACCCGCTCAGAAAACAGAGCGACTTCCTGCCCATACTACCGTGAGCGGACAAAACGCAATTTTTCCCCCTTTTTGGTACCATTTTTGTGTTCTTTTGCTAAATCGGAACCCTTGTCAGTTACCCTACTTGTGTGAAAAAAAAAAAGAAATTGAAACTGACAAGCTTTTGAATAAAATTTGAACTCAAATTTCGGAAGAACGCCTTTCAAAAAGGGTTACGCTGCCGCCCCCCCCCCCCCCCCCCCCAAAAAAAAAAAACCAAAAAAAAAAACCAACAACAACAACAACAACAACAATAAAAAAAACAAACAACAAAAAACAAAACAAAACAAAAAAAAAAAACCCCTCTTTATTTCGATACTGCAGTCAATTTTAATTAAAAGGCGTCTCGTCACAGCAGTATAGCGGTTTTCATCACTTTAACTTGAACTTTCTGTTACTCTACTTCATCATCATCATCATTGCCTTTCTCACCCTAAGTCAGGATATAGGCCACGAACAAACACTCTCCACCTTTCCCTATATCCTGGGCTAGTCGCTTGATGTCACTCCACGTCTTCCCACTTTTCTGTTCGTCCATTTCCGTGACTCTTCTCCAGGTTCCACGTGGTCTTCCCCTTGATCTTTTACCCTGTGGGTTCCAATTTAACACTTTTCTTGTTATGCAGCTGCTTGACTTCCTGAGAGTGTGTCCATTCCATCGCCAACGTCTTCTTCCCACCTCATCTCAGACTGGGCTCTGTCTGGTTCTTCTTAATACTTCCTCGTTGGTGATCCTGTCTGTCCATGTTACTCTACTTGCGTTACCAAAATTTCTTTACTCCTCTTTGAGTGACGCATAGGTAAATAAGGTTCAAGAATTACTTGTGGACGACTGAGTGAAAATTCGGAGATGCTTCCCCAGACCAAAAATTAGAATATAATATAAGCTTTTTTCTCTATAAAATTTCAAAAGTTCTGTCACACCCATAATTTTAATACTCGGTATATCATCTTGTCAGCCCGACAGCAAGCCACCAAACATATTTATCAGGAATTGAGGTCCATTAAAACCCTCAGCGATGATTACCTTTGCTATATATAATAAAAATAGATTTTCGACTCTGATTTCGAATCGTCGAAGCTTTAGAAAATGTTGCTAGGCATTTGTTCTACTTCTTTACACCTCACATTAGCAAACAGTCTATCGGAGGTTGGGGGGGGGGGGGGTCTATTTGCTGAAAAAGAGCTCGACAAAATATGTCACACGTAAGAGAAACAATCATCCGTGATCGTGGTTGGTAAAGACGTCTACTCAGATGTTAGTCTAAGAGCTACAGTCCAACATAAAACTAAAATTTTCCCCGGGGTCTGAACTTCATGCACTACTCGTTGTCTTATATTTGAACCAGGGGCGGCTCGTGGGTCTAAAAAGTGGGCATGCACAATTAAGCTATCTTAGGCTGAAGATAATCAAGGTCAGAGTAAATGGGATGGTGTATAATTTTTAGGATCTTTGGTTGGTGAAGGAAAGCCTTGTGCTTTTATTTTCATTCTTTTTACTAGTGGCTTTGACTTTTAGAACTAAATATGTTTGTTAGCAAAACGTCAATTTCATTCATCCTGCATTAAAACTGAACACTGAAGTAATACCTTTCACCACTCCACTACAAAACCGTTCAAAAGCACAACTCATAGGACGGCGACTTAAGTATGTCACGTTCACCTCCATCAGGTTCACGGTCACAGAGTCACTTAAAATAGCGACAAGACAATGAACCAATCACAATTCACTTGAGCACTCCGTTGGATTGCTCCGGGGCCCCACATAATTTTGACATGGAATAGTGCACAGTCTATGGCGTTTATTTTTAGATGGCCTACTGTGGGCTATGTTTCGGCGCTATTCGACAGGAGCACATTTGAGATGTGCCGTCTTATTAATATTAATGTACAGCCAAACTCTCTACAAGTGTCGTCATCGCTTGGGTTATCCCAAAGAGCGATTTATAGGTCAGGTTTCCTCTGTTGAATATCCTGTTGCGTTTAGATACAGCGCATGAACTTAGGCATGGCATAGTCGATGTTTTACGGCGCTATAGAATAGAAATGACAATTACGGCGCCAGCGAGGGCCTTATTTTGATATAATATTTGGCTAGTGTTTGTTTCTGGCGTCTTTTATTTTGTTATTGTGTTTGCTTTATGTCATAGAACATTAAAACATTTTAGGCGGCACTGCACGACCGTGCTCTATGGACGAACCGCGCCTGATATGCACCATTCAAGTCAAGCTGCCCCGACGGGAGAACAATAACTTTCCTTAGAGTGTCAACGTCTGAGCTGCGTAACTTTATATTATTTGGGATAGGCTCAGCTCCAGGAGAATCTTTGCTTCAACAGCATAAGTAAACAGCTTTGCTGGACGTGAGCGCATGATTGATATCCATATCCCTCCACTTCTCTATTTACGTGTGCTGTGGTTGCGGTGTGCTTGTGTTAAAGCGTCTTATTGCGTGCAATTTAGAAACTTTTGTCAATTCACCCCCCCCCCCCCCCC